TGTTGAAAAATTCATGTAGCCCAGTATCAAAACATTTTTTATCTTAGTCTTCTAAAAGTCTTATAGTTTTATATTTTATACAGAAATCTATGATTCACTTTGAAATTAATTCATATGTAAAATATAAAATTTAAGTTGAGGTTCCTGGTTTTTGCCTACAGTGTCTATTACTTTGAAAAGTACTATTTGTGGGGTTTTTGTTGATTCAAAAAGAAAGAAAGGAAGAAAGAAAGAAAGAAAGAAAGAAAGAAAGAAAGAAAGAAACCTTTTTTCTTTATTGAATTGCTTTTGCACTTCTGTCTAAAATCAATTGTGCATGTCTGTGGAAATCTATTTCTGGGTTCTTTATTCTGTTCCATTGATCTAAGTGTCTGTCCTCTGTCAATACAACATCTTGATTATTGTCACTATAAAGGAAGTCTTAAAATAGAGTAGAATAAATCATCTCACTTCATTCCTTTTTTTTAAGTTTCTTTAGCTCCTCTGCCTTCTGCACCTTTACATATAAATTTTAGAGAGAATTTGCCGCAATCTTGATAGAAATTGCGTTACACCTACAGATCTGTTTGGAGAGAGCTGTCTCATTTACAAACTGATTCCCCTGATCTGTGGATGCAGTACACCTCTCCATTCTTTTGGCTCTGCTTTTATGACACTTTCCAGGGCTTACTTAAATCTGCGCCAAGGCATTATTTGGGGGTGGGGGGTGAATACAATGTGTTTATAAGTTTGGATACCATTTGCTTATTACTATGTTAAAAAACTATAACGGTGGGGTAGGGAAAGAATCTAATACCCTCTCTGAGACCTTACCATCTAATTCCTAGTGCTTATTGGGGGGGTTGTTTGTTTGTTTGTTTGTTTTGGACTACTAGGCATTTTCTAAATAGATAATCATGCTATATGAAAATATGACAATTTACATCTCTCTTTCCAGTATATCAGTCTTTTGTATTATTTTCTTGCTCTCATGCACCTGCTAAGAGTCCCGGTACTCAGCTGAACGAGTGGTGTCCGTCCTAGTCTTGGTGGGAAACACCTTATCTTTTATGCCAGGTGTGACATTAGTGATGCATGTGTGATCAAGTATCGAAGATCAGGCTCTCTGAACAGAAGGGTTAGTAGAAGATGGGTCTCAGAGTAAAGAAACTACATTTTTCCCCAATCTCATGCCCACTCTCCTCAGCCATGCAGCAATAACTTTTCTCCAGAGGATGCCAACATTCATCATTAGTGATGATGATGGTTTTAGTGAGCGTATCAAGTCTGGTCACTTAATCTACTACATCCTCTGCACTTACTTCAACAAAATTAAAATATGCAAAGAACCTTTACCAATGTATGTACAGACCAAAAGCTTAACCCAGATGTAACTTGTTTCTTTTATAAGCAAAATCTCACAAAAAGACAGCTGTACTCATTCACTGGTATCCTGTCTTTGACTACTTTTGAACAAATATGGCAAACTTCCATAACTACAGCAGCCACTATGTGTCCCACAGAGTCTGAAATACTATCTGTTCAGTTTCACAATTTTACTGGCACAAATTCCTAATAATAAGACATAAAGATTAGGAATACAGGCCATTGGTAGAACACTTACAAAGCATGCTCAAGGCCCTGGGCTTAAATTCCAGTATCATGTGCGCGCGCGCACACACACACACAAATTCAAATTGGAAGTAAACCTGAACTACATAGTGAGAACATCTCAGAAAATGAAGGTGACAAAGATGAAGATGATGGTATGATTATGATTGATTGTGATATATGTCTAGATATCACCTAGAATAGTTAAGAAACCTCTTGCTGTATATGGAAAGAATACATTAGAAAATAAAGCTAGCGCCAGGGCGGCGGTGGCGCACGCCTTTAATCCCAGCACTTGGGAGGCAGAGGCAGGCGGATTTCTGAGTTCGAGGCCAGTCTGGTCTACAGAGTGATTTCCAGGACAGCCAGAGATATACAGAGAAACCCTGTCTTGAGAAAAAAAATAGAAAGAAAGAAAAAGAAAATAAAGCTAGCAGCAAAGCTACCAACTCTGAACATTATGTAACTGATTCAAATGGGCCAAAATATACTACAGTGTGGTGTTTTCAGTTACACCATCAAACAAACCAGCTTTTTCTCAAGCAAGTTTGAACAGGAGCCCCTTCATTTGAGTTGAAAGATCTCATTGATATGTGGATAAAATCTATAACCTTTAATGTTAAAATATAGCTCCAGCTTCTTCCTCTATCACATACCCATCAATACCACAAAAATATTCAACATGTCTTTAAGACAGACTATGTCTTATAGGCCAAAAACTGTGGTTTATGTAATAATTAACATGTTACAAAAATCAACTAAGCTGGGGTTTATTTAGACACCCCCCCAAACCATCCTAACAATGTTACTGAACAATGAAAGAACAAAAAGAAACTAAAATTCCCCAGCACCACCTCTAAAAACATCATAATACTGAGTAATATTCTAAGCCAGCAGGTGCCCAAATTTATATCTCCCTGACATAAGAAAGTCTCTCAATATTAGAGAATTACTCTAAGATCAGCTTGTGGAAAAGCCAACCAGACAAAGCCAAAACTCCCAAGGGGACATATTTAACTAATTAGGGAGGAGGTGATTAAAATGGAGCTGCTAATTGTCTACTATGCTCTCAGCAGTGGGAGACAAAATTACACCTCATGTTACTGTCAATTACACGGTCCTCATTTGTCTGTATTTATCTTTCCCTTTAGGACACTAGAAAGCACACAGAGGTGCAGTTTCCAGCACAAGGTATACGTTCCTCTGTGACAACAGGTTTATAGAAAGTTTAGAGACAGAATTATCTCTCGTTTAGACTTATTATTAATGTGTACATTCTGGAGCAAAAAAGATGCTTCTCTTCAAGAGTCTTTCCATCTGCAGCGGCCATGTGTTAGCCTATGGGAAGACTGAAGTGGTTAGTAAGAAGCCAACTATACACCGTGCAGAACAAATATCAAGTGGTGGGAGGAGTGGAAGGAAGAGGAGGCTTAAAACAGTGGGAAGGCAGAATCGGAAGCTGAGTTGGGGGCAGTGAGGAATGAGGTTTTCCTTGTTCTATTTCAGTTCTGTTTTGTTTTTTGAACATATACCAATAATTTCATGCAATGAAAGGAGTTCCTATCCTATGAGTTTGGGGAGTCATTCGAGAGAGCCAGAAAAATTAAGTGATGCAAAAGTAACTGAGCATGAATCCTTAGGAGACAGTCTGAAAATGTATCTCTGTGAGATGAAACCTAAATACATCTAGAGAAAGACCTCAGCTGTGTCACTCTAGCACACCTGCCGGCCATTCCCAGCAGCATCTCTCCTCTTCTTCCCTGCAGTGTACTAGGCACTGACTGGCAGGGCCAGTGGCTACCTACCTGCATCTGGATGTCCTCATTCTCATCTGAGGGCAGATACAGCCACATCATGTTTACTAATGGAAGCAGCATGTGACCTCTAAGTTCTTCACAATGCTTCCAACTCCATTTCCAAGCTGGAGCAGGGAAATGACAGAATCCAGGACACCATGGGTTAAGGGGGCAGAGCAGTCATGCTGGGTAAGGGCCCAAGTGAGAGCTCTGACAGCCACACCCACTTCTCTCCACATGTGCTACTATGCTGTGTCTTCACTGGCTAGCAGCTGGCATGTTCTCTATAGAGACAGCCACTTATTATCTGTGAGGCTTGCAGTGAGTTATTTAACCTTCATAACCCTGTTTTCTCATCTATAAAATGAATCACAACACCTATTTTCCTAAAACAGTAAGAAATAAGTAGGTTTTATAAATCTATAAGACACACACACACACTTCTCAACTGGGCTTGGTTCTATGGATAACAATGTATATAGGGGAAAATGAGGCTATCTTATCTTTGGCCCAAGAAAGGAATTCAGATTAAACAGTTGTTTCATTATAGTCCATCCAGTTCTGCCTCATCTTTAAGTAGTTGCTTAAATATGGATCTATATTACTAAAGTTTATGCACATACTGGTTTGTATTTTGTTGACCAGATTGAGTCCTGTGTTTATATAACAGACAGATGAGTAGAACAGCACATTCGTGTATATGGCCATATCGTCCCACCAGCACAGGCTAGGAAAGAGCCACAGAGGAACTGAGATCGTCTGCAAGGGACAATGGCTTGATTCATGGTGTCCTCTAGGCAGCAGAAGCATGATCTGCCTTTGCAGGTACACACTTCCCCCTTTGGATCATGCCTTTATCCATGTAGAGTCTCTTCACCTTTTATGATGGAACTTAGCTATACTCAGGGTTTTTGTGACCTTTTAATAGTGTACACTTAACACTGTAGTTGAGACTCTCAGCATCAAGATAAAAAGGCCTGCTCTGGGACTTACCCCAGAGCACTCAGATGGCTTTTACGTGTCACATGTTGCATAACAACCACAAGGTCACATAACCCTGCTGAGGCCAGCATCTCTGAAATGGGAACACAGATCATGTGGCCAGGTTTAACTGCTTCCATCTATCGTGATAATGTCCCACTGCTTACCATGAGGTGTGAATCACCATTGCAATGGGAAACCTAACCAGATGACAGTGATAAAGATGCTCCACCTCCTATGTAGACTTTTACAACTGTATATCCCATTAAAAGCAGCCAGTCTCATGCTTTGCAGCCTACTTTGTGAAGGCAATGTATGACCAATAGCCATTCAGTAATCCAGACCACTCTGCTTCTTTAAGAGATCCAAAGACAATATGCTTGTATCTATAATGGGGAAACCTTCTGGACCATCACACAGAACTTCTACCTTAAGGGCCAAGGCCAAAACCTGGGAGCTACATACACACAGAAGCAACTGTAGTATCTACAACATCAACCTATGAATAAAAAATGCCCCTGGGACATTGGTTTCAAAGACTCCAGGCTTTTGAGCAGTAGCAAACCCTCTCAGTAGGGAAGCAGAACACAACCCAGGGTCTTTATTGTTCCACTTCCCTGAATTGTTACTTACAGGTTCCCGGCCATCCATGGCTTCCATCCAGAGCCTACGGTCCTCTTCCGACAATGCCTGCATGGTGATAACCCCTGGCCTACAGAGAAAGGAGAGACACAGACATGACCACAGGGTCACACAAAGAGGCACTGGCAACATTCTTAATCATTTTCTTAAGAATATCTAAGACATACCCACTTATCAGCGTGAGAGGATGCTGAAGCCAACTACATGAAGAGAGGCGCAGCCTTCTGCTCCTGTTAGCCTCCCTCCCATCTCAGAGAGCAAAACCACCTCCTCACATCCTTTTCAATATGCCTGTCTCTCTCAAGAGCTAGAGGTAAAGGACAAGATTTATTAACTACCTGGTTCCCTTAGAGCTTGTTTGTTCTAAATGGACTGTGATCATTTGCTTAACAAGGTGCTTTGTACAAGGATGGAACATAGTATTTTCTAAAGTGAATTGCGTTGACTGTGGATAAAGAGAGACATACCCATATTGAATACTTCAACTTTCTTAGCATCAAATCCACTGCCTTCTAAACCGCTTTTGCCAGCAAATTTATGAAGTGAATTAGCTTTGTAAATACTGTTAGATTAAATGTATGTAAAATGTTTTAATGACTACCCATATGCCAGAAGCCCAGTGCCGCTCAGTTTGCAAGCTCTCCTTGAAATCTACTTTCTAGTCACAATGAGCACAATCTCTCCAGACAGTTCACAGAGCATCAAACCCTGCTTCCTTTACAAATGGCACGCCTCACAGAAAAGGCTGGGCAATAAAATGACCTGAGGAGAATGTCACACACTCCTCAAGGCAGAGTTTCTTTAGTCAGTGTTGGTCCCATGTTGCCCACAAACCATTTCTCCTCCAAACATATATGCATTCTGATGGAACAATTTCATGTGAATCAAATTGATAAAGAGCACAGCAACCCTCAAAAATTCCAGCACTGGTGGATCCCACCTCTAGCTAAGGAGTTACTGGCAGCTGATGGCTGCTGGAAGAGAAAGTTGCCTGCCCCTCACCCCCAGGGACGTGGCCCCTGATAGCCTGCCCATGTTCTAATGGTCAGCCCTACACCCTGCAAACACTGACAGCACTAACTCACTTAGAATATATAATTGAAGTTGTCAGAGAGTAGTGGGGGATATGAACAGGCCCAGAGGGAAGGGAGGACTCAAAGTATGAATTTGATCAAAACACATGTGTACATATATAAAATCCTCAAACAATAAATTAAATTTATTTTTTAAGTTTAAGAATAGCTCTTTTAAACCCTCATCTTCAAAGTTTGAGAAATCTTGAAAGAGACAAAGAGAGATGCAACTGATCAAGAACTAAAGTCCAGTTGCCCTTTGTGCCCACACGCCCTCAGTGTGGTACTAAAAGCCTAGGACCAAGACAGCAAGCATCTTGCCATTCTCCATCACCTCTGGTCACCGACTGTTTCCACTGTTCAATCAGTAGGATATATGATGTGCCATATGTGTCTTTTCACCCACTGTCCTTCAGTGCCTTCCATCTACACTTTCATAGCTGTAAGGATGAAAGTACAAGGGTCAGGGATGGGAGGAACATGGGGTGAAGGAGAAAGGGGAGAGAGGGGAGGAGAGGAGATGGCCACACAAGTCTACCTCGACTGAGGCAGACAGAAGGGGAGAATATATAAGGTTTAGAGGACACGGCTGTGTTGAAGACTGATTCCTGAGAAGGAGGTCATCCCTTGAAGCCACACTGGGTATTAGCACCACAGGAGAAAGGTGAGACCAAGGACAGACTGACTCTTCTTTCCACAGCATCTGCCAGGGCTCTCCCCCTCTTCTCAGACTCAAATGACCATCTCTCCAGCAGCCCCTTTGATGTGCCAGACTCCCCATGTACCCACAGACTGCACTCAGCTGTGCTTCCACAGAACCGAGCCTGTGGCCTGGAGACAGAGCAGATTTGATATTCCCCTCCCACCTTTCAAATCCAAGCACAAGGTGCTTTGAAATCAAAAGCCTGAGAAGCTACAGCCTGCTACAACGTCTACAAGCCCCAGCTTCCTTCTCCAGTGCTACCCTACTTTTTCTTATTTGTTTATTTTGCTTTCTTTGCTGGCACCACCTGTTTGAGTCAAGCAATCCATCTTTATAAAAAAAAAATGTAGATTCCCAACCCAACTCCACCCTACTGAGACTGAACTTCTGGGCTGGGCCTGGAAAATCAGATGGGGGAGGCACCCAGGACTCAAAGTGGGTGACCTTAACCAAAATGCCCATCAGTGGGGAGATGGAACCCGAAGAGACTACCTCCAGTAGTTAAACAGGGGCCCTAGTGGAGGAATTGGGACACCAATCCACCTTCAAAATTTTTGACCCAAAATTGTTCCTATCTAAAAGAAATACAGGGACAAAAATGGAGCAGAGACTGAAGGAATGGCCGACCAGTGAGTGGTCCAACTTGGGATCCATCCCATGGGCGGGCACTAAACCCTGACACTATTACTGATGCTATGTTGTGCTCGCAAGCATAGTATGGCTGTCCTCTGAGAGGTTCTACCAGCATCTGACTGAGATGAATGCAGATACTTTCAGGCAAGCACTGGACTGAGGTTGGGGACCCCTATGGAAGTTAGGGGAAGGACTGAAGGAGCTGAAGGGGATGGCAACCCCATAGGAAGACCAACAGTGTCAACCAACCAGGACCCCTTGGAGCTCCCAGAGACTAAGCCACCAACCAAAGAACATACATGGGCTCTCCAGGCACATATGTAGCAGAGTACTTGTCTGTCCTTAGTGGGAGAGGACGTGCCTAAACCTGTAGAGACTTGATACCCCAGGGAAGGGGGTTTAGGGGGTTACTCTCTCAAAGGCAAAGAGGGGGATGGGGGATGAGGAAGGGAGACACTTGGGATTTAAATAAATAAAATAATTAAATTTTTTTAAAATGTAGATTTCCAATCCAACCCCACCCTACTGAAACTGAACTTCTGTGCTGGGCCTGGGAAATCAGAGCTAAGGCAGCTCTCTCGGTGATCCTGATACATAGCTATGCCTAAGGCCCATGCCCTGAACCACCTCCACCCCAACACTCTTCCTTCTGGGTTCTCTGTAGTAGAGATACTAACACCCTCCTCTCTATGCTGGGAATCAAGCAGCCAACATAACTCCAGTTCCCTTCCTGCAAGAAAACAATTGTAAACACAAGAGTTGCCCAAACACCAAGAGTACAGAGGTATCACAGATGTCACATCAACTTCATGGCCTATGGCATGATATTTCCACACAAAGCCACCAAGAGGAAGTTCAGAAAAACTCAGAGGCAGTAAAGGGGCAGGAAATATGATTGGGCCCTAGTAACTAGGGAAGCCAGTGTGACTGTTGTTACTTCAAACAGAAATAACAAAATACAAATTATTTTTCACATGTGTGGGGAGTGACACTCTGGAGGGGAGATAGCAAATAAAGTGGATATAACACATTTAGTTATAATTCTATTCCCAAAACTTAGAGAATTTTCTCAGCTTCATATATGTACACTGGATACAGCACTATACTTTTTTAGGTAGAAATACCTATATTTTTCATTTATTAAATTAAAAATACTAATATAAATCCTATATAGGACTTTCCTAAGAACCCAAGATAAAAGGGTCAACTTTATCTTAGAACCAAACAATAATTTATTCTCATAATTACCTTCTCAAGTCTCCTAGATTGGTAAAATAGCTCCAGAAAAAAATAAAACAAGAATAAAACCATGATGTGAAACGGCATATTAGCAAACTTTCAAACTTTCTCTTATAGCATGTCCTATTTAGTTCCTGTTTGAAATGTGTGTCAGTTTTTCACAGAAAACTGAGGGAGTAAGGGAGAAAGGAGAGGACACATGGGACATGGAAGGGAAATATAAGCCAATGGTAGACAAATAGGGTGCAGGGCTGGAGATGTTCCTGGTTCTATACACCACTGTGCTCCAGCAACATTGTAACAGATGTTACAACATTGTAACATTGTAACAGTTTAGCCTAGCTAGGTACACCACCTGCTGTGCTAAGCACTCAATAAATTAGTCCTCATGCCTACACTGGAAGTAAATGCATTTTCACTACTCTCGTTCAAAAGTCAAGAAAACTAAGACTAAAAGGGTAAGAACTTTGTCCCTGATTACAGTCAGCAAGTTACAGGGCCAGGACATGACCACCAACCAACTCCTAACCCTGGCATGTGATATCATCTCAATGTGGGGGCACCAGAGCCCCTAGGGAATTGTGTTCACTACCTAATTCCTTTGGCATCAAAACTGACTAGTGATTCCTACAGCTCCTTAAAGAACTCCTACATGGAATCAAATGTGACAGTGACGAATGTCTCTGTAAACCCAGAGTGCTTCATAAATATTCTTCCCACAAGTGTCTGCCCAGGCTCTCCCTCCAGAACACAGTCATACCACACAAGATTGAGACAACTTTCAGCAGCAGTGGTTCCTCACATTTTACCTCAAGACAATGAAGTGAAAGAGAGGCCTTTTTTTTTTTTAATAGAACAAAACAAGTGCTGTTGGCAGAGTCTAAGGGCCAGAGAAATGGATCTCTGCTGTGAGACTGTAACCCCTAAAACTTTCAGGGAAACTACACCTATGAAGTCTCACCAGCATGGCTGCCTAAACAAGATCTGAATAAGGATAACAGCAGCAAACACGCTAACATGGAGGGGTGAATTTCACAGGGACCAGCCGTAGACCAAGAACTAAATGCTACTAAGTGCTCTGCCCTGGAATCATATGCATACAAGTAACATTATATGGACTGAGCAGACTGTATTTATTTATTTAAGAAATATGTATACATGTGTGCGACAACTACAGAAAAAGAGGACAGAAGCCATGAACTGGGATAGGGGAGCACATGAAGTGTTAGAGGAAAGAGAAAGGAGATATATATATATAATATTTTAATTTAAAAAGTTTTAAAAGTGCTATCATAAAGAAAATGAACACTGGTAGGTTAGACCTTATCAAAATAAAAAGATGCATTTATTAGAATATAATATTAAGAGAATGAAATAATATGGGAGTATAGTTGATTCAATAGAGTGTTTATCTCAGTGCAT